GCCCAGCCGGAATGGATTTTAAGTATGTAATTCTATCAGTCTTTACAAATGGGTACCAAGCATGTGATCACCACCCCTGTTCTCTTACCCTGGAAAGTTTCTTGATGTCTCTTCCCAGTCAACTCCCCGTTCTAAAGCAATCACTGATCTGATTTCTGTCACCATAAGTCAGTTCTGTCTATTCCTACTGTGTGGATTCATTTACATCTGGCTTCTTTTACTGAGTGTAACATTTTAAGATTCATATGTGTTGTTGCTTATATCAGTAGTTCCTTTTTTTTAGGGCTAAGGATTATTTGATAGTATGATTATGCCACCCTTTATTCTTCTGTCACTGTACACATTGGCTGTTTCCAGGTTTGGGTTAGTCAGAATAAAGCTGCTGTAAGCATGCATGTATGGAGTTTCTTGTGGATTTTTGTTTGTTTGTTTTTTTGAGATAGAGTCTCACTTTGTTACCCTCAGTAGAATGCCATGGCATCACAGCTGACAACAACCTCAAACTCCTGGGCTCAAGCCAATTCTCCTACCTCAGCTTCCCAAGCAGCTGGGACTATAGGCGCCCATGACAATGCCCGACTATTTTTTCTTTTTGTAGCAGAAAACCCACCAGTCTTGGTGCACGTCCTACCCACTGGGCCACAGGTGCTGCCCCTTGCTTCTCCATTCTTTTGATGCTTTTATCATCCTTATGAGTACTTTGTCACATGTGTATTAACCATTTGCCTATCCTCTTTATGCAATGTCCAGATGCTTTACCTTTTTTTTTAAGTTTCTCTTTTGTCCTTATTTTCATGTATATAGCCAGTTCCACCACTGTATTGAAGAGACTTTCCTTTCCCTGTTGAAATTGGCATCAGGCTGGGTGCAGTGGCTTACACCTGTAATCCTAGCACTCTGAGAGGCTGAAGCAGGTGGATTGCCTGAGCTCACAGATTGAAGACCAGCCTGAGCAAGAGCGAGACCCATCTCTAAAAATAGCCAGGCATTGTGGGGGCACCTTTAGTCCTAGCTGAAGCAAGACAATCGCTTGAGCCCAAGAATTTGAAGAGTTTGAGGTTGCTATGAACTAAAAGAAAAAAGTTGACCAGGTTCTTATTCATGTATTTGTGAGTCTTTCTCTGCTGTCATGTTCTATAGATCTATTTGTGATTGATTTTTGTACCTCCAACATCTCATTTAGGGCCCAGTAAAAGTATAAATGCTCGGGCGGCACCTGTGGCTCAAAAGAGTAGGGCGCCGGCCCCATATACCGGAGGTGGTGAGTTCAAACCCAGTCCCGGCTAAAAACTGCAAAAAAAGAAAAAAAAGTATAAATGCTCAATGAATGAAAGGACATAACAGTGGAATGGAGGAAGATAGCGACAAAATCTTTGCTGGGTCATTCTTAGGGAATTCTATTTTTTCCTTTCTTTTTTTGAAACAGAGTCTCATGTGAAAACCCCACACTGTACCCCAGAAGTGCATTAATGTACATAGTTACCATTCAATAAAAAAAAAAAAAGAGAAACAGAGTCTCAGTCCCCCTGGGGTAGGATGCCATCATCACAGTTCACCGCAACCTCAAATTCTTGGGCTCTAGCAATCCTCTTGTCTTAACCTCTCAGATAGCTGGGACTACAGGCAGCTGCCACAACACCTGGCTAATTTTTCTAAATTTAGTAGAGACAGGGTCTCGCTTTGGTCAGGTTGGTCCAGAACTCCTGAGCTCAAGCGACCCACCTGCATACGTCTCCCAGAGTGTTAGGATTACAGGTGTGAACCACCGTGCCTAGCTGAAAATTGTATTCTTAAAATACCAATTGGAAAAGATTTACAGCAAGTCCGTGGTGTTCTGATTAGCACCTGAGACACATATGCTATGTTATTGAGGCATTATTTATTCTAGAAAGGAATTTTCTGTTAATATGATTGAGTAGTTTCAGAAGCATAATTATAGTTACTATTTTTTATAGTACCTTATACACTGTGGAAACTGAAAAGATATCTGCTGGTTGATGTCAGTGTGATTTGTTTTTAGCTATGACCGTTCATGGCGCTTATGGGATTTGGAGGCTCAAGAAGAGATTCTGCATCAGGAAGGCCACAGCATGGGTGTGTATGACATCGCCTTCCATCAGGACGGCTCTTTGGCTGGCACTGGGTAAGGCTCAGTAGGCTCACCTCTTATGTATATATGCTTCCATAGAGAACTAGATTCAGAGTGTTCATTTAATTATTTTTTATCAGGGGCCTGGATGCATTTGGTCGAGTTTGGGACCTACGCACGGGACGTTGTATCATGTTCCTGGAAGGCCATCTGAAAGAAATCTATGGAATAAATTTCTCCCCCAATGGGTAAAATAAGCTCACTGAATGAGAAGTGGAAAGTGTCCTTGGTCGGAAAGTACTCAATTTCTAACTTTCATACTACATCTGGTCCACAGCTACCACATTGCAACTGGCAGTGGTGACAACACGTGCAAAGTGTGGGACCTTCGACAGCGACGTTGCATCTATACCATCCCTGCCCATCAGAACTTAGTGACCGGTGTCAGGTTTGAGCGTAAGTTTGTCTTCTGTTTTAGGCCCTAAATAACAGAGACAGCAATTGTACTTCTAGGAATTATAGGCCAGCCTTTAGTTTTACTGAGAAATGGAAGAGGAAAGAATTTGACCTCTATTAAAGGGGGAAATTACAATTTTCTTCCCTTTGCCATACCTTTAGAGCTGTGGCAAAGCATATGCTTCTTGTTGCTAGGAAGTAAAAAAGACTTCTGTGAGTGTCGTGCTTCAATCTTTCCTCCTTGGACATTGTAAGCTCTGAATCCATAGTACTATTCTAAATAGGCTGTCTATCAGGGAAGGAGCCAGAAGACCTCAATAATGTTATTTATTCCCTTAAATTGCCATGGTTGTCACCTTTTGCTGGAGGCCTAGTAGGAATATTGAATTAGAGTGTTGGGTTTTTCTGGCTATAGAGATAACTGTCTTTTTTGGTATACGTTTTTGCAGATTTTTGTGCTTTTGTTTTCTTATACTTTTTTGAATACTTGAATTTCTCAAGCCATTCCCCTTCTCTTTTCCTATAGCCATCCATGGGAACTTCTTGCTCACTGGTGCCTATGATAATACAGCCAAGATCTGGACCCATCCAGGCTGGTCTCCACTGAAGACTCTGGCTGGCCACGAAGGCAAAGTGATGGGCCTAGACATTTCTTCTGATGGGCAGCTCATAGCCACTTGCTCGTATGACAGGACCTTTAAGCTCTGGATGGCTGAATAGGCAAGACCATGGAAAGGAACTCTTAACTTCATGTACTCCCTTAGGAGCCGTTTTCCTCAAAAGAAAATAATTGGAGTGTTGTTTAGTTCTATTATGTTTTTTGTTAATTACCAGGCATAGATCCTCAATAGAATTGGATTTTCATGTCAGCTCCAGGCAGGCAGCCAAGGCCCTAAGTGATGGGGAACCAAACCCTTTCGTGGTTGGAAAATTAATTTTCCATAGCTTGTCACAAACTGTGTAGACTTTTCATCAATCTTTTGTTTGAATACCCTGTAACCCAGGCATCCTCAAACTACAGCCTGTCGGCCACATATGGCCTGCCAAAGACATTTATCTGGCCCGCCAGGTGTTTTTGCCACTGCTGCCTGTCCTGCTTAGCAGCCTGTCCTAGGGCCCGCAGTCTGGTCCTCCAGCGGTCCGAGGGACAGTGAACTGGCACCCTGTTTAAAAAGATTGAGGACCTCTGCTAACCTCTCACAGGACAGAGGATTGTAACTGACTGTTTCTTAAAACCTGGCTTGATCTAACATAGTACATGCTTCAGAACTGCGTATGATCCACAGAGCAAGGTGGCTGAACTATATTCAGGAAGCCCTCACATAAAGGAGCACATATTATCCCTCACTGGTTTTGTTTTGCTGTTTGTTTGTTTGTTTTGAGACAGCCTCAAGCTGTCGCCCTGGGTAGAGTAGCATCACAGCTCACAGCAACTTCCAATTCCTGGGCTTAAGCAATTTTCTTGCCTCAGCCTCCCAAGTAGCTGGGACCACAAGTACCTGCCACAACGCCTGGCTATTTTTTGGTTGCAGTTGTCATTGTTGTTGGGCAGGCCCAGGCTGAATTTAAACCCATCATCTCTGGTGTATGTGGCTGGCCCCTTAGCCACTTAAGCCACAGGCGCCGAGGCATCCCTCACTATTTAAACAATGTCTGCCAACAAGCACTTTTCTTCTCCCTTGAGAATAGGAGATGAAGCAGTAGACCACAGCTATGCTAATAGTTATGCAGTGAAGAAGATTTTACTTCTTCCTTTTGATTTCACTTGGAATGCCAGAGGCTTTAGGAAGCATCGGAAAAGTTGGAACTGAACATTTGTCTTGACAAAAAATGTCTTCCATTTTACTTTGAAGTTTGGCATCCTTGTTACCCTAAAACAAGGCCATTATGTTGGCATTAAAAGAAGTTTTTAGTAAACATGATGTGTCTTTTTGTACAGCCTCCTTTTCTATTGGTCATTTGATGTATTTCATGTGTTAAAAGGTACTTTATGTCATGGTAACTGGAGGAAATCTGTAATAGATATTCCTAAACAAAAACCTTTTTAATTTATTATATACTTGTAAAAAGTAAAATGCTATTATAAAAACTATTCTTTGAAGAATTATTTTCTATAGTTAACCATTTTCTGAACCCCAGCCATTGATTCATAAGTTCCTTTTTTTGGTTTGGAATATAACAGATGATCGTAAATACAGATCAGTGTCTTAAGCACTGTTAACAATTTTTTTTAAATAGAGGGCAGGCTGTTTGTATCATGGGGCAGACTACCAGTGAGCTATTTCACTGGTAGTTGAATTGGCTCTGTAATTCTCTTTTGCTGGTCATGCAACAGTTACCTTTCTGTGAGCTCTAAATCTACACAAAAATACAGGAATTTGGAAGAAGGGTTATCTGCAGAGGACACTAAAATTAAAGAAGGGATAATATGATGGCTTCCCCTTGAACATTTGGAGACCTTTTCATTTGCTGGTCCAGAGAGGCTGAGAATGGCTTTGCTCAGCTCTGTTCTGTAAACTATGTGTAACATGTAGCTAAACATACTGGTTTTAGTCTGATTTTAATTGTAACCAAAACAGTTGTATTTCCCATGTAGTTATTAAGCCTCTGAATTCTGAAGTCTATGGTCTTCAGGGCACGTCACTATTGTTGAGGTATTAATGAGTTCTATGTCCTTAATAGTTTGCCACGAAAAGAAATTATTTTTTCTTACTCCCTTTTTAGTATTTGTAAAATTATGAAGAATGATGGTGTATTAGCATGCAATTTGGATGTAGTGTGCTAACAGGTTTTTAGTTTCTCAAATTTAAATTTTATTCTCTTAAGACTTGTGCATTTGTTTTGTTTTTTGGTGGTTCAAAGAAGTAGCAGTTAGGTGAAAACATCTCATCTAAGCCTTTGGCAGGACAAATATCTTATGGACTATCATTTCTTCATAGGAAATAAATATCATTGTGAGAAGGTAGTTGGTTAAGCACAAAGCCAGGAGTGGCACTTTATGATAATGACAAGGTGAATAGCCATAACCATAGCCTGCCTAGACAATGTCCCAGACACATTCAGACTAAATAGAAGACACTATAGTATTAAGCATTATGCTGTAATATTAAGTATTGTGAGGCCCTCCACAGCCTCATAATCTTTTTGTTTTCTTTTTTTTTAAGACAGTCTCACTATGTCGCCCTCAATAGAGTGCTGTGGCATCAAAGCTCACAGCAACCTCAAACTCTTGGGTGTAAGCTTTTCTCTTGCCTCAGCCTCCCAAGTAGCTGAGACTATAGGCGCCCACCATAATGCCCAGCTACTTTTAGAGCTAGAGTCTCATTGCAGCTCAGGATGGGCTGGAACCTGTGTGCTTAGGCGATCCACCCTCCTTGGCCTCCACAGTGCTAGGATTACAGGATTGAGCCACTGCACCCAGCCATAGCCTCACAATCTTAGTGAGTTTATTCCTTTTTTACAGACAAAATGGGTACAAAGAAATCAAGTAACTGAAGGTTTCCCATCTAGTAAATGGTGAAGCCTGACCAATTGTGACCTCATAAAGAAATTTTATAAAGCTTTATGGAGTGCGTTGGCCATGCTGCAGACTAAAGGACCACTGCAGCCAGCATGGCCTGTTTTCCCATACAATGTCTGAGCCCTCTGACCACTCCACTTTGTATACTGCTCTTTTTTTTGAGACAGAGCCTCAAGCTGTTGCCCTGGGTAGAGTGCCGTGGCATCACAGCAACCTCCAACTCCTGGACTCAAGCAATTCTGCCTCCCTCTCCCCAAGTAGCTGGAACTACAGGCACCTGCCAAAATGCCCGGCTATTTTTTGGTTGCAGCCATCGTTTGGTGGGCCTGGCCAGATTCAAACCCGCCAGCTCAGATGTATGTGGCTCACACCTTAGCCGTTTGAGCCACAGGCGCCAAACCTATATACTGCTCTTGTAACATTTCAGCTCTGACTTCATGCCAAATGTAGTTAAATAACTTCCCACTTACGAGCTCAACAAGATTAACTACTTGCATTTTGGGAAAGGTGATATTTCATCATGTGGAACTGAAGCATCACAGCAGGTCTAAGCATCCTGGACCTCTGAGCACTAAATGCCAGCTGTACAGCCCACCCTCTTCACTGAGAATTGAAGATGCTTCCATGTGAAATGCCAAATGCCCCTTAGGAGGATAGGACTGCCCCAAGGTTAGGTAACTGAACGTGAAGATAGAAGACACGGTAATAATAAATATAGTTGCCCTCTATGTTTGCAGAGTCTGTGTCCTTAGAGTCAATCAAACACAGGTCACAAGTATTCTTAAAAAATTGGAACTGTACTGAATCTTTTTGCAAACATACTTCTTGTCATTATTTCCTGAATAATACAGTTGAATATCATTTATATTGTGTTAAATATTATAAGTAATCTGGGGATGATTTAAAGTATGTGGGAGGATTGGGAAAGTTATATGAAAATACTGTATCATTTAATGTCAGAGACTTGAGCATTCTCAGATTTTGGTATCTGAGGGAGATCCTGGAACCAATCCCTCTCAGATACCAAGGATAACTTCCCTGTCCAGAAAATGTCAAACTTACGTGTCTTATTTGGGTGGTGCATCAACCACTCCAAAAGTTGTATTTCACCTGAAAGGACTCCACCACTTACTAGCCCGGTGACCTTGAACAAAGTAGCTAAATTAGTAGTAAGACTTAGTGCCTTCTAAAGTGTTCCTTCTTGGGCTTCCTCCAGCTCCACTCCCTGTCCCCTCTCTACAGCTCAGAGAACATGGTGAGATCATTGCCTCACTTGGGTGCTCCAAGGTTAAAGAACAAAGACGTGTAAAGAAATGAAGTCAGTGGGGAGAGGTAGAGTCCCAGCTAAAAGGTAATTATCTTTGATGGTGCAAATGTAGAGTTAGTTGCTTGTTCCCCAGTGGGAAACATAGGCAACTTTCCAATTTTGTAATGGAGAATATTTCTTCACGTTGGAGTTTAAAATTGGTTTATTAAATGCAAAGTATGGACTGTCTTGTGTATTAAGACCCTTAAAGGGAATTGATAGAAGCTAGTTCTGTTACACTTATTACCTATAGCAAATAAAACCAACTCAGTTTCCATCCTCTATAAGTTTATGCTACAAATCAGAAAAAAACGCCCTCAAGATGTTTTAGTAATAATTTTTATGGTGTTTTATCCACTTTTGGGATTGTTTCAGAGCCCCGAGCCATCAGGCAAGGTTAAAACTAGGGCAGCAGGAATGTGGTTTTAGATACTGCAAGGTGGCAACTTGTCAAGCAGCAGCCTGAGCCTCCAAATTCCATCTCATTTCCTTGGTTCCTGGAATCCACATGCAAAGTGAAAACCAGGATCCTCCATACCTCCTATGGCCTGGGATGGGAACTAAGGATTTGCTTCTATCCAGGGTATTTGCCTTCTTGAGGCCAGAGTTGTAGTGTTTGGGGGAGAGCAATCAGAGTTCGCCCTATGTTCATTCTAATCAAGATCTCTGCCCCTACCAGGAGGAATACCAACCTATTCCTCCAAATCACAGATTTCCCTAATCCACTGAGCCTAGCTTCTTTCCCCTTTACATTTTTTATACCTAACACTCCATGAACTGCCTGCTGGCAAGCAGTTGTCCTGTATAAGAAACAGCCAAATGAACACATGTGCCTTCCCAGCTGGTAAGGGCCATCTGCCAGCCCTGGAAAACCTTACCGTCTTCTTCCCTTAGTCCTGGCACTCAGCATCAACCCAGTTAACGACTGTAGAATGAGTAAGTAAAGACATTGATGAATGCAGAACATTTTTACTGTGACTGGTGGCAAAACATCCAAAGAGAAAAGGGGAAAACAAACACATTTGCCCACAGAATTGAAGGTCACTTTCCAAATTTTTTAGCAACCTGTTGTGAAAATAACTCAAAAAAATGTGAACTGAGTCCGTAGCAGCTCCAGCGAGAAATGCAACCTGCTATCTGGGCAAGTCAGCGTCCTGGAAACATTGTCCAGCTCTTTGGCACAACTTGCTGTGAAGCTCTGTAGTCATAGAACTGCTTCTCTGCCCTTCCATGATTTTATATTTCACACCCAGAGGTGTGAAAAGCCAGCCCTTCAGCTCTTATTTTTTCCTCATTGTAGTAGGGCCCTCTCTGTTCCCAGAAGCAAACACAGGCCTAACGGATCCCTGGATCATAAAATGAACAATAACCACAAAGGAAGACAACACCACATGAGGCTCTGCAGTCCCCAAACCCAGCAGCAACTGAGAAAGGCTTGGTTCCTTGTCGGGGAGCAGAGCACTCACCCCACACCCCAAAGGAACTGCTTTGTCCAAAAGATGGAGAAGATGAGCAGCAGACTGATACTGAGGATGACGGCCATCAGGTAGGCAAAGATCCGGAACTGGGGATTGCGAAAACACTCCCTCAGAGAATAGTGGCTGGGGACAGGGATGGGCATAGGCACAGTGGTAGGGCCTGTGTCCTGGGGCCCGGGCTGGCTCCCGGGCTCGGAGCCCAGGTCCAGTGTGTACACCCGGGGCTGGCGTAGGAAGTAGCGGCTCTTGGGCTGGTCCTTGAGACAGAGCTGACGGCCTTCCAGGATGACATGGTGGGGCTCCAGGCGGAGCAGGGTGAGCATGGCAGTGTCCGTGGGCAAGTCAGTGACGGGCTGCCCTGAGGCCAGCACTGTGGGCTGGCGACAGAGTGGGCACAGCAGGCGGCGCCGGGAGGGAGTCACCAGGCTGAGGTGAGCCAAGCATTCCACGCAGAAGGAGTGGCAGCAGTCCAGCACTTTGGGGGTGTGGAACGTGTTGTTGAAGGGGTTCCAGCAGACAGGGCACTCAGCCTCAAGCTGCCGGCCCTGCTGCTCAGCCATCTTCACGCTGCCTGCTGGGCGGGCTCACAGGAGGGGTCCTGGAGGACAAGGAAAAGGAGCAAAGGAACACCCATTATACCCTGTCTCGGTGCCCGGTCTGAGGCGAAGGATTCTGTGGGTGTTAAAAGGTATTATCACTCACATTTTACAGATGAAGAAACTTAGGTTCAAGACGATTTCATTCTAGATCACCCTGTTCCTAAGCCATCTAGTTAAGTCTGATGTTCCCACAGCCTTTCCTCTATCAGGGTGAAGGCCTGGGCCACCCACTAGCAGCAGCACCTGAATGAACTCGCATCAGGGGAAACTGCACCCTGGGCTTTGGAGATGGAGAAAAATATTTCTCAGGCTTAGTGTGTTTGCCCTCAGCTGCCCTGAATCAAGCACGAGGGACAGAACACAGTCAGTGGTTTTTGTAGAGGACAAGTATTTCTTTCCCTGCTACCTCAAATCCCTGACTAGTGCAGAGATGGGCTTTGTGAATTCTCTCCCTCTGGGGACAAATGCCAGGCCCTCTTTCCCTCCTCCCCTTGAGCTAGAGGGCAGCCCTCTGGAGCCTACTAACCGCAGTACTTGCTTGCCCTGGCAAGGAGGGCCCCTGACCTTGGAGAGGATGGCCTGCCCAGGTCCTCAGATCAGCCCTTCCAGAGCCTTTTCCTAACTCTCAGCCTCCCCTGGCTCCCTCTCCCTCCCTTTGTCCCAGGAAAACTTCAAGGCACCCACCTTGGCTTCCCTAGGCAGACTATTTTGAAGGGCTTGAGGCTCCAGTGTCTCCGTCCCCTGAATCCACAATGCTTTGGGAGACTGGCTTCTCACCACCAACCCTGGGGCCTGTCTCCATGGCAGCGGAGCACAGAGCACCTGGAGCTGCCAGGTGGCCCAGGCTGCAGCCTCTGGAGCACACCTGCCTGGAGCCAAGGCCAGAGCTGCCCTGTGTGGGGTGGGAAGGTGGGGACCAGTGCCTCCCTTCTATGGGGCGTGGCGACCAATGGAACCTGGAAGCCAGGTATCTGCAAGACAGTGGGCGGTCCCTTTGAGACTGGGAACCCCTGGCGTGGAAAAATAGGGGTGGCAATTTCCTCCCTTTTGGGTCCTTATTTCTTTTCTAAAAAACAGCTGAAACCTTTCTGCACAAAAGGGCTGCTTGCCCTGCACTTCAGTTGCTATGAAATTCACTTACTTGGCAGCCTAAAACCTCTGGATACCAGATCCAGCAAGTCCTCCCCAGTCCCCTGCTGATCTTTAAACAACTGCAATCAGAGTGTGCAAACCTTGTAGCCTTCTGCTTTGTTCTTAGAACACAGGTGGCCATCCTGCCCAGACCTTGGAGACAGAGTTGGCCACCTCACTCTGGGATTTAAAGGGGAAGCTGGGAGGGAGGAACCTCCAGCCCAGCTTCAACCAGAAACACTTAGCTTTTATCCATTCCTTATACTGGTCATTTGAGTTGAGCTACTGGGGTGAAAAAAGTTTAAAAACCAACTTTCTGTGAGAACTCCCTCATTTTGCAGATGAGAGACAATAAGGGATACACCAGTCACCCAGCTAGATAAAAGTGACACTGGGACCCATGTCTTCTGACTCCCGGTCCCACCCCCATGCTGCCATTGTGGAGCAGAACCCCGCGTAAATGCAGCCGGCCTGCTGAATACGCGTTATTAACTAGATAGTGAGTTTTCACATTTTATCAGAAATCTCTCGTGGCCATGAGACTCTCGAGGTAGGAATCCAGGAACTGTGTGCGGGGAGGGGGGATTTGGGGCAGTGACCCTTGGGCCCCTGATATTACATCATCTAAGTTGACACCTAGAGCAAAACTTGCTTCTGCCCTTTCACCCATGGCTTCCTGTCTTTTTCAACCCCTGACACTGCTCTAAGAGGGCAGAAGGAAGTAAAGGCATGCAGGGGGAATTAGAGTAGCCCTGGCCAAAACTAGCCTAGTTTACTACCAGTGCCTTATATTCTGTGCCCATTCATCTATCCAGAAGTTACTGAGTGTTTACTGTATGCCAGGCCCTGTGCGAGGCATGCGGTAAGGAAGAGTGAACAAAGTAGACAACGTCTTTGACCTCATGACATTGAGATTCTAGTTAGGCAAAGAAGCATTAAAGGAGTAATGTGCAACAACTAAGTATATAATTTCAATGGATATTAGAAAGGACAAGAAGGAAAATGGATTTGGGTGCTGATACTTCTTTTTTTTTGAGACAGCACCTCAAGCTGTCCCCCTGGGTAGAGTGCTGTGGCATCACAGCTCACAGCAACCTCCAACTCCTGGGCTCAAGCGAGTCTCCTGCCTCAGCCTCCCAAGTAGCTGGGACTACAGGTGCCCACCACAACGCCTGGCTATTTTTTGGTTGCAGCCATCATTGTTGTTTGGCGGCCCGGGCTGGATTCGAACCTGCCAACTCAGGTGTATGTGGCTGGCACCTTAGCCGATTGAGCCACAGGCGCTGAACCAGTGCTGGTACTTCTGATGAGACCAGCAGGGACATCCTCCAAAGAAGTGACGTGAGAGCTGACACTGAAGGATGAAGAATCCAGCCAGGCAGAGTGGAGAAAGCATTTGGGGGGGGGGGTGTAGGGGGCAGCTCACATCAAAGCTCTGTGTGTTTGGGGAAGTGAAAGGAAGCCAGGATGACCCAGGTGTCTTGGGTCAGCAGGGTGGACAAGTGGCTCAGGATAAGGGGGGGGGGGTAGGAGGTGGGACCTGGTGGGCTCAGGAACTTGTCTAGATTTTATTCTAGGGATGAGTTGGGGGGCAGGGTGAGCTGATTCTATTTCCATTATAAAAATAGCCTTCCAGCTACAGAGCAGAGGACAGGCTGAAAGTGGAAAGGGAGGGCCAGGCAGGGGCTCTAGCCGTGTGGCCCAGGCCTGTGACAGTGGTACCAATGCAGGTCAGGTGGTGCTGGGAAGATAAAGGGGATGTGATGGGAGATATCTCTGGGGACACAATCAAGGCCACGTCCCAAGAAGCAGTGGACTTCTTGGGATTCAGATTATATATTCTGCAATGAGGTTGTCAAGGCTCAAGACTCCAGATCCACTGCTCATTAGGGCTGTGATTCCAGCTGAATCTCTTAACCTCTTTGCACTAATTTCCCCTGGTGAAAGGAAGCCAAAAGCAATAAAGCTTTTAGATAGAGCCAAGCATCCAGCCAGGGGTATCCAACCTTTTGGCTTCTCTGCACCACATTGGAAGAAGAGTTGTTTTGGTCCAAACATTAAATACAGAAACACTAATGTGAGCTGTACATAATTTTCATGATACCCACCACCACAGATAAGCAAAAAAGTCCTCACATAATCCATATCCAGCCATGGGCCACAGTTTGGACACCTTAACAATGGGGATACATTCTGAGAAACTCATCATTTTAGGCAATTTTATCACAGTGGGAACATTGTAGAGTGCGCTTACCCAAACTTAGATGGTGCAGCCTGCCATGCCAGGCTGTGTGGTGTAGCCCATGGCTTCTGGGCTACAAACCTGCACAGCATGTTACTATACCAAATGTTGTAGGCAATTGTAACACAAGGGTAAGCATTTGTGTGTCTAAACATATCTAAACACAGAAAAGGTACAGAAAAAAATATTATAATCTTGTGGGACCACTGTTGTATATACAGTCCATCCTTAATCCAAATGTTACATGATGCATGACCGTATAGGAGGCAGATGGCATTGTTATTGCAAATGGATCTGAGAAAGGAAGGGTCAAGGTTGAGTTCAAGGCCACGATAAAGTTTTCTGCATCAAACTTTGAGGAGCCCTTGAATTTCGGAGTGAGTCAGAAGCAGACCTTTAATACTTATCGGAAGCCTTAAAATGTATATAGCCTTGACTCATCAGTTGCCCCACTGGGAATCTATCCCACAAAAATAATCAAGGACCTCTGGAAAGATTTGATTTGATTAAGAACTGCCTACTGAGGCACTGGTCTAACAGTGAAGTACGAGGAACTACCTCATTATTCAATAATAGGAAACTGATTGCAAAGTAAATTCTGCTCTATCCATATGAAGAGAGACATTCTGCAGCCTTTAAAATTATGTGATAAAACATCTATTAATGTGGAAATATGTCTATGATATAATGTCATTAAGTGAAAAAGAACCAGGAATAAAATCATATTATAATATAATCCAATTTTCAAAAATATGTTCGCAATGGAAAATGTGTCTGGAAAGATAAACAACCAAATGCCAGGCATGGTTATCTCTAGGGCCAAGATTATAATTGTTTTTAATTCTCTTATCTGAAAATTCTAACTTTACTCTGATAAGCTTATATTCACTACCCTTAAAGAGCTCCCATTTCCACCCAAATTATACCGATATTCTCTGAAGTTCCATGGCTAAAGCTGGAAAAGGGGAATTATCTCTATTGCCTGGATCTTTATCTGTGGTGCTCCTTGTAGGGACTGACTGTTGTTTAGGATCAGCTGGTGAAAGACTCTGGCTACATACTGACCCCAACCCAGGGCAGGACATTTCAGCTGCAGTAGGTCCCAAATGCCACCCTGAAGTCATCGCCTTGGTGTATGAAAAAGTCATCACCAAATATTGACTGTCCATAGCACCACCCCAGTGTTTTCAACCTCAACACGATAGAAATTAAGAACTAGCATTTTAAGAGTACTATACAGTTTACAAAGGGCTGGGATCTAAGGATGGTGATACATCTAGATAGTATAATTGCCTTTTATCATTTTTTTCCTGTTTGTATAAGTTCATCTGATCTTCTAAAATCACCCTGTGAAGGAGGCTGAAAGTAGAAAGTGTGCTGGGTTTGGAACCAGATTTATTTGCTGATCTTGGACAACTGGCTTACCCTCTTTGAACTTCATTTTCCTCTGTAAAGGAGGCTAACGTTCCCACTTTACAGGCTGCTCTGGAGAAACAACAGTCTCTAATGTGCCTCATAGTACACGCAGGAGCTCAGTACGTAGTGAGCATGGTTATTTTACACCCATTTGACAGATGGGGAAGCCAAG